CCCATCTGCTTTTTGAATTTCTGCCTCATTAAAAACCGCAGCACAGAGGGGAGGGGAGGGTGGGGGGAGCCCTCTGCAAACAGCAGTCTCAGGAATGTGTCCGTTTTCTTTTCTGGAGATAGAGGCATTTAAAGGGCCTCTTCTGCGTGCTCAGCCTCCCCCGCTCCCGCAGCACTGAATGCAGGGATTGTACTTTGCTGTGTCAAATGCCTTTCCCTTCGCCTAAAAACATAGGTGAAGTGCACAGATACACTCACCTGCCCTGCACTATCGGTTGCTGCCATGGCAGTGAGATGCGTTAGCGTCATAAAGAGCGGAGATAAAGGAGCTCTTCATTATTCCTTTCCAGACTGAGTTAAGAGGGATGCTGCGCTGAGCAAAGGCACAGGCTGGAAGTTCATTTTTCCTGGGAATCGAATGTGTCGCCTCTTCACCAGCACTTCCCATTACTGAAGTAGGGCTCCATTGTGGCTGTTGGGTGGTGACGTCAGCTCTGTGCATTCAATGTGGCGCTGGTTTTGTAGATGAATCCTTACTGAGGCTTAGTCAGAACATGCCTGTGTAGGCTGTTACTGTATTTTGGGTCACCAACCCTGCAGAGGCTTTCCTTGTTTCTGACTGGTTTCCATCCCATTCAAGCTGTGAGCTAAAACGTGGCCTTTTGCCCCAGACTTTTAGCTTCTGTTCCTCCACCCAGGAAAGTCACAGCCCTTACGTGTAACTTAGGGTGCTGGGGATAGCTGGTCTGTTAAAGAGGCTTTGTGATCTGGAGCTCTGTATGACACGGGGCTTTCAGTGCTTCTCTGTACATATGCTTTGAAGGGAGCAGTTTGGTCCCCTGAGTCTTGCTGATATTTGAAAACATTTGTTCTTGTACCTCAGGAGTCCTTTGCCTGGGTTTGATTTAAAATAAGAGAAACTCGGCCCATAGAAAATTAAGAAATTAGGATTGGAAGGGACCTCAGGAGGTCACATCTAGTCCAACCCCCTGCTCAAAGCACCATCATCCCCAACCAGATCATCCCAGCTAAAGCTTTGTCTAGCTGGATTTGGAAAATCTCCAAGGATGGAGAGTCCACAACCTCTCTGGGTAGCTTGTTTCACTATTTTACTACCCTCCTAGTGAGAAAATGCTTCCTAATATCTAACCTAAACTTCCCTTACTGCAACTTGAGCTCATTGCTCCTTGTTGTCATCTGCTGTTGCTGAGAACAGTCCAGCTCCATCCTCTTTTGACATGATTGTATCAAGGCCCTTGTTTTTCACCAGGAGAGGATTTGGTTCAAATTCAGGTGACATCACCAGGGGAATAAATTAAGTCTCAGTCCTACCCTTTGGGGTCATTTGTCCACACCCAGCAAAAAGACCCCCCACATGTATGCACATATTGGCATGTTTCTTCCTGACACATCAAAGGGTATTGAGGAGTATAACAGTGGAAGGGGCCTTTTGGGGCTGTCAGGTCCAATCTGCTACATTCGTTATCCAAAGAGTCCTGAAAATTATCCACTCCAGTCATGCAGCACAGCCACAGAGCTGAAGGAGGAGCCCAGGAAGAGCACCGAAGGTGAGGACTGAAAAGCTGCCATCACTGTGTGGACCCCAGGGACTGAATAGCAGGGATTACTGAAAGTCAGGATTCAGCAGCATTGCCAGATCTCTGTAGGAGCTGGCAGGTTGCTGCAAGACAGGAGCATGATGTGTATTGGCAGAGCTGAGCAGGATCATAAGATGGGAATAGCAGGTGTTACTGGTCAAGGGTGAGGTCTGTGTGCAGCATTTTCCTGTGCTTTGGCTGCAGGGGCCTATCTAATAATTCTTTGGGGGAGCTCTGCAAGGCTCCTTTTGTAAAAGAAGTTTAAAAAATATCTGATAAAGCCTCAAGAAAGGTGCAGTTGACAGGTGCAGACAGGCTTCTTCCTGCTGACACGTATGTACGGCTGCATCCTGTGTGGAATTGGATGGCCAGCAGGTACCCGGTGGCTGGAGCGGAGCCGAGCACTTCACTCGGTGACTGACCTTGTAAGATGGGAACTGGCCCCTGCATTGATTTTTGTATAATGCATGCATTGCTGCATTGTGATCAACACCTGCTGTTTTGCCGGCAGGCATCCATTTATTGCAGCCATAAGACTTAAGATGCCTGTGCAAGCCGACTAATTGCTGCTTCATGATTAGATATTAAAACTTGCATGAGGCAAAAGCAAACCCTTTGTCATTAATGATGAGCAGAACACCTGGGGAATGACAAGGTGCCTTTGCAGATGTGCCAGTCAGCCCCTTTTAAAGTGCTTAAGAGAGAAAAATGCTGAAGTTAGATGCGTTGCTCAAGAAAATACAACTTGAAGTCCTAATTCTGTATGAGAACTGCACAAGCAGGCTCCCGTGCCCTGGCAGAACCCTGTAGATTTCTATGGGACATCACATCGCTGCAGAGGTCCACCCCTCCAGGAGTCTCCAGGTCGGATTATGACCGCCTCCTGCAATATTTTCCATACAGAATGCCTCCCAAACTTGCTGTAGATTTGAATTCAGTTGTGGAATTAGAGGCATGAGCACATTTAGAGAAGAGGAGAAAAAGACTGATAGAGCTGAAATTTGAGATGGTTCAGTCAAGTGGGGAGATGCAGGGAGGCCTTTCCAGATGGCACAGGTGCTGATGGGAGAAGGCTTTTCCACCAGTGCCAGCTGCAACACAAAAAGGGCCCAGGCAGAGTCATGCCAGGTGACTTGGAAGAGACGGATCCCCTGAGAGAGACTGGGGCGTTTTCCCACTGAATCAGTTCGGAAATGCGGACTTGAGAGGCTGAAGGAGGGTGTGCTGCGGTCACATTTCTTTGTCTGGATGAGATCAGGGAAGTGACACGGGGGGGGTGCTGCGGTCACATTTCTTTGTCTGGATGAGATCAGGGAAGTGACACGGGGGGTGTGTGTGTGTGTGTGTGTCACTGGGCACATGACGCTGGGCAGCTGTGGCTTGGGATGATCACAGAGAGGGAAATTATAATGTTTAAGGTGGCAGAATGAGAGGGACAGTGATTATGGATGCTTCCCACTAAAAAAAACCAAAACCCAAGTGTTCCTTCCTGCTTATTTAAAGTGAAGGTGCTTCTTTCTTTTTTTTAAAAAAAAAAAGGTCTAATTTACTTCTCACTGTTCGTGCTATTTTTTAAATATTTGCACTTCCTTCAGTAAAAAGAGCACAAACTGCCTTGTTTGTAGTCTGTTTGACTGCCTCTCCCTCTTGAAGTCCGAACAATATATGTTTGCTGAATTAAAAAAATCATGAAAATGTTTCTTTTAACTAAACTCTGTAGGTGAACTTTGTGCCTCAGCATCCTACATTTTGGAGGTAACTTCAGAGAAGAAAGGGGACAGAATTTCAGTTGAGTTGATAAATATGCAGGGTATTTTGCATGATGCCTGCCAGTCCCAAAACAAAAATGGGTTGTGGGAGGTCCATGCAGCATAACCTAGAGCAGGGGCAGGCAATTATTTTGGGCAGAGGGCCACTTACTGAGTTTCGGCAAGCCATCAAGGGCCGCATGACAGGCAGCCCGGAGCAAATTAATATTAATTTTCTAAATTTTTTATGGGTCCTGCGGGCTGGATAGAATGGCCTGGTGAGCCGCATCCGGCCCCTGGGCCTCATTTTGCCCACCCCTGACCTAGAGCCTCTTTTCCCCTTGTCAAGAAGTTTGGCTCCCCTCTCCTGCATCCATTGCCGAATCTCTAACAGTGTGGAAAAAGGTCTGCTGCTTTTTCTAGAAATCAGTCTATCCTAGTGGTGCTCAACCAGGTGAGTGTTGGAGGCTGGATCACTTGTGGGGTCAGTGCACAGGGGTGGGCTCCATCCTCATCAGACCCTGTGCTGCCTTGTCCAACCTTCGTGCCATGATGATCAGGTCGCATGCTACCTTGGCCGGGCTTTGTGTGCCTATATTGGGCCCTGCTCTTCTCCAGCCCTGAGTGCTCCTGCTAGTGTGCAGGGCTATACTGTCTCCAGCCCACAGTGCTCTCTCCATGGATCTTGAAATTTGGCAGTGGGAGAGCAGCATTTAACACTGCCACCACTCCCCACCACCACATTTTCAGATTTGGGGGAGCCCAGCAGCCCAGATAACAAGCTCCATGGGCTAGTTTTGGCCCCCAGGGATTCAGCACCCCTGTTCTAGCCACTACCAAAAGATTTGGCAAAAGTTACTGCCAGTTAGCTGTCAAGCAGCCTACTCCCAGGGTCAGTCCAACTGAAGTTCCTTTGACCTTGCCTATGCATACCCTGTTTGGTAGTGGAAGTTCTGGTGGCAGGTGCCACATACCACTGCCAAGGTGCCAAAACATGTCCACATCCATGTGCTGCTGGCAGCTCTGCTAATAAATCACAGTGTGTTTTGGGAAAGCACCGTCTGCGGCAGGAACCAGAACAGCTGGTAGGAGGATGTGGTAGTATCTGCTGTGTGCCAGCTGCTAGAGGCATGCTTTAGCTCTGGAGAAGTGGGGGAACTGGCAGATGTGCGGAAAGGGTCTGTGCTCTCAAAGGAGCTTTCAGTGTAGGCATACTCCAAGTTTTGCAACAGTATGTGGTAGTGCAGAGTCAGTCTTTGTTTCTTTCCAAGGAAACCCTCAGGTATGTGGTTGTTCATATGTGACCTCAACCCTGGGTATCAGCCTGCTTTAAGGAAGGGGACTGTTTGGACAGTCTATATAGTCGGCTGTCCTGTGAAAGCCAATGAAGTGGGAACTGATGACCCACTTGAGGTTGACGATCGCAACTTCTTTCCTCCAAGGTGAGTGGGAGATTTCTGTGTTACGTGTGAACAAAGACAGGTTGCAAGGGTGTACCCAGCTCTCTGCTCCCTAAGCTAAGTATGAGTAAAGGAGTCCAGTGCATCTGCTCCTTGATTTTGGTTTTTGTGCATGGGGATTTTGTCTGTTTGTTTCTGGAAAGGCTGTAATGGGCTGGTCATCACCAATGTGTGTGCCCCTCCTTTGTGTTACAGTGCTGGCCTACATGCAGTTTGTGGAAGACTACTCGGAGCCACAGCCATCCATGTTCTACCAAACGCCCCAGAACGAACACATCTATCAGCAGAAAAACAAGCACCTCATGGAAGTCTATGGCTTCAACGACTCGTTCATCAGCATAGACTCAACCCAAGATCTGGCACCTCCCCCTGCTCTCCCACCTAAACAGCGACAGCTGGTGAGTGACACCCTAAGTACCAAGGTCTGTTAGACTCCTGGGAACAGATCTGGGGAAAAGTCAGCCTGTCCATTGTGGCATATCTCTGTCTGTTAATTTACCCACATTACACTCCCTTCAATCTAGTCAACATGCTTTCTGACACTTTGCATGACCCAGCTTAATCACCGTTCTACAGCACACGGATTCCAAGCATTTCCCTGCAGGCTCTGAGAAAACCAAAAATGCTCTGAAAATGAGATTTCCAGGTCTTGCAAACACCATGGTAGAAGCTGTGCTAGTGACACTCCAGTGCTGTGCTTCCGTCCCTCTGGAAGTCTGGGCAAGTGTATCCTAAGAGATAAGATGACTAAACTATGCCATAGGCTACACGCCACTATATAGTTTACAGCATTGCTTTGTAACCCAGTTCCTAAAGCCATTCTCAGACACTGCTTAGGGAACTGGCTAGTAGTAACTGTTCAAACTTAGTTGCCGCTTGTAGGCTTTCGGTTGTAGCAAAGGCAGCTCTAGTGCAGCCGGTAACTGTCATAAATGCATGTTGTTTTCCCTGTTAAACCCCATTAGCTTGCTCACAGTGAGCTGTCTCTGTCTGTTCCAGGTCCACCAGGAGTAGGACAGCCATTCCAATGCCAGCCCTGCTGTCTTGATTTACTTTAGTACCAGGCTTTTTATTTAAGTGGTTGAATCAGGTTTGTGACAGCTTGAGGTTTCCGCTGCATTGGAACAAGAATCCCCATTGCCCTTCTGGAAATAAGATTCCACCACATGCATTGTGCCCATTCAAATCCACAGGCGTTTGAAGTATGTTTCAGAGGGCCCCAAGCATGATGAGGTTTTGACTGCCGGTTTCTACCCTCTGAATGAAATCCTGGCTCCACTGAAGTCTGTCAGTGGGTGTTTTGCTTCTGACTTCAGTGAGCCAGGATTTCATCCTATTTCTTTTCTTTTCCTCAGCCTTTTTTTAAAATCCTCTTGCTTCAGGGATTATATTTCGTTTCAGTAAGCAAACTCATTTGAACGAAAACACCCAGCTAACTCATGCTGCTGTGCTGTTAGCCATGGGCCTGGAGGGGCTGGGGGAGTGTGCCGTCTTGTTGCTACCAGACAAGCTTATTTTATGTCCTTTGAAATGTTACACTTGACTCCCAGGTTGGGTGACAGAATTGTTCATGTCTGTCCCTGTTACAGTTCTGTGCTGATTTTTGACTTTCCAGCTGTATTTTTTTTAATTGAATGGAGAGCTTTGGAGCTTCAGTTTCAAAGCATTTGGATTTCTTGGAAGCACAGGTTCAGCACTTACCAGGGTCAGCCCATCCTTCCAAGGAAAATAAATCAAGTCCCATGCAGTGGTTCTGTGCCAGTGTCCCTTGAATGAGACAGTGGTAAATCCCAGCGTCCCATCTGCTTTTCAAGGGCACTACAAATTCAATGAGACACCTTCCTGAAGAGCTAGGTGGTGCTCCAGTATATATGACCTGGTGGCACATTTACTTATCTCATCACCTGCCTCCTACCCCGGAAGTGGCTGCATTTGGGTGGCACATTGTAAAGGAGGTGTATAAAACAATAAAATCCTGATGAGACCTTCAATAAGGTAGACACTATTGTTCTAGAAAGAAAGTCTGCCGCTTTCCCAAATCCAAGTCAGTCGAAACAAAGCATTTCCTTTCTGCGCTCCCCCACCTTTGCTGCCTTTTAATAATTGTCTGACTGACCAAGAGGTCATAGCTCTGCCTGCTGGGCGTTTTCTCCTTGCAAGATGATACCATCAAGGTGTTGCCTGCAGTTCCCTGGAGGCAGAGGTTTCCTGACTGGGTTGCCTTTCCTTATGTTCCTTCATCTCCCAGGCATCTGGGAAATGGTGTCACTGAACTCTGCAACGAGACAATAGTTCTTTCAACAATGACTGCAAAAGCTATCACAGTGTATTGTTCTCTTGTGCTGGCTGCCCTGAGATTTGGCAAAAACAAATCACATAGACACAAGGAACTTTTCCAGCTGGAGACTAGTTCTGCTTGATGAACTCTTCCTCTGCATAAATTTTTAAGAAAAATTGCTGCCTTGTGAGCTTCAGATCTGACTGTAGACCCACTGGTACCCAAAATCCCTGAATCTGAATTGAGACTTGCCAAGCAAACCAGGCTGTTGGAGAGGATCTCTAATGGCTAGCCCTCCAATATATGGAGTGCACAAGACTGCTCAGTGGGATGCATTTTGATACATAAAGTACAGTATTTCCCTCTTATGCAGGCGGAGCACAGTTTTGCTTTTGAGGGGGGTGGTTATTAAAGATTAAAACACTCAGGGTTAGGCCTGTTCACAGGGGAAGTGTGTCATCGCTCAGTCTGGAGAGACCCAAGTTCCCAGGCTGCTGGTTGGCCAAGAAACCAGCCCACCAAAGTCGTCCACCTAATGTCTGGAAGCAAGGGCCGGTTTTACCGCTTGGGAGCAGCTCCTGTTTTGTGCTTGCTTCTTTAAGCAGCTCTGCCCTGTGCTTTGTGAAGAGTAGCACTAAGGAAGAGCTCACCTGTGCACCAAACAGCGGAACAGTAACAAGCCAGGAGGGGAAAATTGTTCCTGAGGGATGTGATCAACAGGGGTGGTTTTAATAATGTCTCTGCAGTGCCTCTCCGAGCTAAGAACCACGTGTCCATGGGACCAGCTCCAACGAGGCATCGGCGTTTTATGAGTAGCTACTTGTTTAGAAGCAACTTGAAATGCATTGTTTTGCAGCTAGCATTTCTTATCCCATATTCATAGTCTGTTCTGTGCTTTCTTTCTCTGTTTCTTTTTTCTTTGGCTTTCTCTTTCTTCTACTCAGCAGGCCTCCCATGCTGCCTCTTCTTTCCCTTCTGTCTCCTACTGTGTCCAGCAAACTAAAGTGCCCTTCCTGCCTGAGGACATCAGTGCCACTCAGGGCCTCAGTATGTCCGTCTCTAACTCCTTTCTCAACCGGCACAGCTCCTTTCCTGTGCATTCGGTGAGTCACTAACTGCACGTCTTTACACGTGTGTGCGCGTGCATGTGTTGTGTTAGTGAAATGCTCTTGCACGTGTTCCATGCTCAGTCTCCGAATTCCAGGTAAATTCAAAAGTTCATGACTGCTTTTAAAAGCTATTGCTAGCAATAAGGACAGTTGGGACAGGGAGAGGTTGGGTAGGCGGAGGCTGGTTTGGACCTTGTGACATGCTCTGGGATGGGGAAGCTAGTCTTTATGGGTATCTTGTGTGTATTTATGATAGGGGCAAGGGAAGAAAGCAGGAAACCAAGCCTGTATACCAAAGGCAAATTCCTTCATCTGCGTTGCCCCGAGGCACTGGTTCTGTGAAGTACTCTCGCTCGTAATGGCAGTGACAAGGAGGACTAGTCAGTTAAACACTGCTTTGTGTATCTAGCTTTGGAGAGATAATGAGGGAATGTCCCTTCCTTCAGTGCAGGGATCCATTCGAGCGCATGGAACAGCTTCTGCAGCTGAAGTTATACACAAAGAGCCAGTGGCAAATGTTTGAGGTGCAGCTTTGCATTTTAGCTCCAGCACCACTTATAGTTTGGTATCGGAGCACAGCTATAAATCCAGATCTCAGCATGTTAAAAAGCATTTCAGTTTACTTTTCAAATGAAACTGTTTGTAGTTATAAAGCTACACTTCGGGACGTTTAATGATTTATTATAACCAAAGTTTCTTTTACTCTAGAAAGCATCTTAGTTGATCTTAAATGGATGCTACAAGCATGATTTCATTTTAAATTGTCAGTTTTCTTTTTTTAATTGTGTTTTGGACTCCTTTTAAGAATGCACTGTTTGTTTGTGTGCTTCCTATTGCCCTGTTTTTCTGGGTTTTTTCTTTCCAGCAACAGAAAAATACTTGGACAGAGCTTGGGAAACCAGTAGAACCGGCTGTACTCAATGCGCCATCAAATGTACAGAGTAAACAAGCAGGAAAAAAATAGCCCTTTCTCTCCCTAATGACTTTGAATTATAGTAATTTGTTATTGTCCATGACTGTAAAAGCTCCATCATTTTCAGGCAAGAATGTGGTTTTCCCATTGTCCATGTCTCGTTGTTTCTGATGCACAGAATGTCAGTGGCCCTACATGTTTCACAGCTGACCTACCTACCTATCAGGAGTGGTCTAGCCCCTTCTTCCTGCCCCTAATGCAGTGCTTCTCAACCAGGGTGCTGTGAGATCCTTTTAAGGATGCCTCAGGGTGTCGTACAGTTAGGTGTGCAAACCCCTGTCCAGGATTCACAAGATAAGCTCAAAGATTTCAAATAGGAGTCTGCAGTATCAATAACTTTCTGGCCCACTGTGGCCTTTCTGAGTTGTTTCCAACAGACAAATTGCTGTATTATTTTTCTGTAGTCAAGAAATAAGTGAGAATTAAGAGCTGGTATTTTTCCCAAGGGTGCCTTGAGTCTATCAGGGGGTGCCTTGAATCTTGCAAGGTTGAGAACCACTGCTGTAATATAAGGTACAGAACAACTGCAGAGAATGAAATCATACATAACCAGGTTAATACCCTTCATTTGGGGATTAGGATGGGCTAGAATCTTTCTATTAATATATTTCTGGACATTAGCTAGAGAGAGAGAAAAACCTCTGTTGCCTGTGAGGAGGTTACTATGCATTACTGCTTGTGGAAATCTGTGAACTGCAGTAATACTGGATTTAAGTGAATTGCCACGTTCTGCTCTCAAATGCTGTGTTACTATCTTTGTCCCTTCTCTTTGTAGTCACAAGTCCACTTAGATAAATGCTTGGAAGAACAATAAACCTGTTAAAGGATTAAGCCTTGGCTGCCCACCAAATCCTGGAGGGATTTGATGCTTGGGACAGCTAACCTTTCACACAGAAGCCACCAAAGGAATAGGCATGCTTAGGACAAAATGATCAATGCTGATTATCCCGTCTCTTAAAATGAAACATTAATCTTTATCCGTTCTATACATGAAGCAAAGCGTCCTTCAATCAATACTGGGAAGTCAAATGTAATAAT